CAATAAATTCCCTGAGTAGAAGAGAACAAGTCACAATATTTCGCCTGCGAACACAACACATACCACTAAACTCCTACCTTAATAGGATCCGCAAGGATACCCCACCCGACTGCCCGTTGTGCGACTGCCAGGATGAAACAGTACCCCACCACCTCTTTAACTGCCCTGCACTTTGTGACCTGCGTAGCACCTACCTACCTGCCTCCCCAGACATCGGAAACACTCTATACAGCGACAAAGCACAGCTGATTAAAACCTGTCAATTCTTTGCCATATCGACAGACCGAAGGGCTAGAACCCAAATGGCCGCTGGATCGGAAAAGTAAAGTAAAAAGTAAAGTAAGTAAGAAACTTCTTTTGCATCTTTCTTTCTTTGATCTTAGTGGTACGTATTTGCCGTTGCGTGATCTTACAATTTCCGTGGAAAGGAGCTGTGATGTGTCGTTTATAATGCTCTTTATCTTTTTTATACTTGTGATCTTATACATTTCTTCACTTCCATCAAATCATAACCACAGATCTTGCTGGTTTCCTTCATGATTCGGTCAAATGTTTCTTTGTCTTGCACCCTACAGTTTCCAGACCAGCAGCTTTCGATCATGGAATGGTTTAAAAAAAGAGACAATATCTTATTAGCAGCATGAAAACGTTATTTCCTTTCAAAGAACATTCTTTGGTTTCATTTCTTATGCACAGGAGCAGTGTGGGGGTGGCAGTCTAGATTCTTGTCAATGTTTGCTCCAAGATGTGTGTGTGTGTGTGTGTGTGTGTGTGTGTGTGTGTGTGTGTGTGTGTGTGTGTGTGTGTGTGTAAGAGAGAGAAAGAGAGAGAGAGAGAGAGAGAGAGAGAGAGAGAGAGACAGACAGACAGACAGACAGACAGACAGACAGACAGACAGACAGACAGACAGACAGACAGACAGACAGACAGACAGACAGACAGACAGACAGAGAAAGAGAGAGAGAGCATGTGTGTGTCTGTGTGTGTGTGTGAGTGTATATGCACACAATTGTTAGAGAAGGTACTTTTAAGCAGCCGTAACATTGCGCTTACTCCCCCTGTCGAAACTCTCCCCTCCTCCAAACAAATAAACATATAAACAAACAAACAAACAAATAAACATATAAACAAACAAACAAACAAATAAACATATAAACAAACAAACAAACAAATAAACATATAAACAAACAAACAAACAAATAAACATATAAACAAACAAACAAACAAATAAACATATAAACAAACAAACAAACAAATAAACATATAAACAAACAAACAAATAAATAAAAAAGCAGACAAACAAAACAATAGCCCAAATAAATAATATCAACCATTTCTCTCTATCTGGAACAAGTTGTTGAGCCTACATACTATGTCAGTACTTCCACATCCTTTTATGAGCTTAGATGTACTTAATACAGGGTTCCCATTAGGGGATCAGGTCTGGTCGGGACGGTTTGCCTGCCAGATTGAGGGCGCAAAACGACTATCGCGGCACAAGTCGATCTAGCCCGACTCGTCGCCTAAAATACAAACGCATTTGTTTGCAGGCAACGAGTGGGGCGATCGCCCACGACCTCGCCCCCGACGCGACCCGATCCCATTCGCAATGGACACCCTGTATTAGACGGAGGTTTTCTTCAAACGACACCAATGACTTTCACACTATTGTCTGTCCTAACAACCTACCTTGGCGAAGGACGAGTGTAACGAAGAGGACAACAAACAGCGATCTGTGCGGGGAAGTACCCATGGCTGAGGGCCTCAGTGCTCGTGAGGGAGGGGCAAAGTGTCTGGGGGAGACAGAACAATGCTTGTAATTGTAACAGCCCAGCAGAAAGATGCTGAGACAATAATAATTGCTTAATAAATAGGTAGGTATGTAGGTAGGTAGGTAGGTAGGTAGGTAGATAGATAGATAGATAGATAGATAGATAGATAGATAGATAGATAGATAGATAGATAGATAGATAGATAGATAAGACAGACAGACAGGCAGACAGACAGACAATAGATAGATAGATAGATAGATAGATAGATAGATAGATAGATAGATAGATAGATAAGACAGACAGACAGGCAGACAGACAGACAATAGATAGATAGATAGATAGATAGATAGATAGATAGATAGATAGATAGATAGATAGATAGATAAGACAGACAGACAGGCAGACAGACAGACAATAGATAAATAGATAGATAGATAGATAGATAGATAGATAGATAGATAGATAGATAGATAGATAGATAGATAGATAAGACAGACAGACAGACAGACAGACAGACAGACTGTAAAACAGTTCCTTTTTTTTTCTTTTAGAAAAAAGGACCAAACCAAAACAACAACAACTGTGCATTATAATTCTAAATTCTTCGGATCAGATTGCAATCTGCCTGCATGAGGTATTATAATATGGGCTCCCTCCCGATAAGGACATTGAAGAATTTTCTGGGAAGAGGTTAGAACAAGACGCTCAAAGTATAAGAGCGTAGGGGTTTAGATCTATAATGATAATAATAATATATGAAATCCGTCTATATACTCGTTCTTCTGTGACTGTTATTTTAGTTGTTATCAGTGGTGTGGCTGCCTGTGTTGTTGCTGTTGTTGTTGTTGTTGTTGTTGTTGTTGTTGTTGTTGTTGTCTCTGTTGTTGTTGTTGTTGTCTCTGTTGTTGCTTGTTGTTGTCTCTGTTGTTGTTGTTGATGATGATGATGATGTTGTTGATAAATATCTAGCTGTAGTTGTAGTTGTAATTTATGAAAACGTAGTTATATTTGTATTAAATTGTAGTTGCTGTTGTTGTTGTGGCTGTGGTTGTTGTTGTTGTTGTTGTTGTTGTTGTTGTTGTTGTTGTTGTTGTTGTCGTCGTTATCTCTGTCGTCCTTGTTGGTCTACCTACAAGCGTCTGTCTGTTTGCCTGTCTGTCTGTCTGTCTGTCTGTCTGTCTGTCTGTCTGTCTGTCTGTCTGTCTGTCTGTCTGTCTTAGCATATAACACCATCCACAAAGAACAGATCTATTCACCCACACATAACAAAATTACACACCAGACAGCAAAATGGTTTTTGGCATCCTTTCTACAGACCTGCCCATAAATATATAATATTATCATTATACATAAACCAAGACGAACAAAAATATTATGCCAAGAAAGTGTTTCTTATCTCCATCAACAGTCCAGCTACACTGGTATATTTCTACCTTTGGCTGTAGTGTAATATCTCACTCTCTTCGCAATTTTGCATGACGTGAAAACCAAAACCAAAACAGGCAAACAAAATACACCAAAAATATATATAACATGTAATTTTAAAAAACCCTTAATTTCAATCCCCATTAGAAGAATTATGTTTTGTCGAGTACGTCCTTCTGCAGAGATCTTTCCTCTGAAACACCAGTCTCTCCTTATTTATTTATTTATTTATTTATTTATTTATTTATTTATTTATTTATTCATTTTCATGTTTTTTGTATGTTACTCTCTGGTATTGCCTGGGATCTTCGGCACCTAGTATTTGGCCTATTTGTGTTGCAAGTGCCGTAAAATTGTTCAAAGACTAAAAAATGAAAGGGCTAGATCTACAAAGATTTTGATTAGCTCGGATTGGACTTAATAGGCAGGGTTAAAAAAAAAAGTCTTCCTCCTTATATATCAAAATGGTGTCAATGGGAACATAAAACACATACGCGATCCGTCAGATCTATATCTAGTTTGTCTCTTGACAGAATAGTGCCCCTAAAGTAGCTTTGTGCTTCTGAAAACACGAGGTCAAAAGTAGGACCTATAGCAGGACCTACTCATACTAATAAAAATCTACGTGCAGCCAGTTTCAACATAATATTTTCCTTACTGACAGATGATGATAATAATAATAGTGATTATGATGATGATGATAATAATATATAATAATAATAATAATAATAATAATAATAATAATAATAATTTAAAAAAAACTAACAATAATAATAAAAATAATATTAATAGTAATAATAATAACAGTAACAATTATGGTACCAGCAGCAATAATTGTAACAATAACAATGACAATAAAATAATGATATTGTCACTCCTAAAGTGCCCAGTCACGTACCGTACAGATCCAGGCGCTTCACAGCACTGTACCTTAATTAATTATCTAAAAATAAATACACAAACATGAACTTGAATACATCAGATTGATACGCTCTTTAGATTAAGGGGTCTTTTGTGTGTTTTTATCGGTTTTTAAAAATGTTTTTGTGAGAGTTTTACAGCATTTGGAACAAAAACTGTACAGTTCCTTACGCTCATAAGATAATTGTACTTTTTGTCTGGTTTGAAGTCTTTGGTTCTGAAATGAAGAGCAGAGCCAGCTTCAAGCAATATTATAGTTCACTTGGACAAAAGAATAATCCAGATATAACATCAATTGAGTGTACCAAATATCCAGCTTGTCACAGAGTTTGAAGGAAACGGTTTTTTTCTTTCTCAATTTCTCAGAATGGCAAAAAAAGAGACTTAAGCGTATCTTATGAGCGTGACGAGTTCATTTAAGTGCCTAAGATTAGAAGATTTACTAGAGAGTAGAATTCAGAGAAAAAAAGGAGGAAAGATGGACGATACATGATATTTGATAGGGAAAGAATGAGCAAACCACACTAGAGCACCCACAACACATGTAGGCCTACATAAATGGGCTTACAACTTAGGCCTACAAGCCTCAGGTTACCAGTTATACTGACATAAAACGAAGTGGGACAAGATCTAGATTCGAACTACTAAGTCTTCATACTCACTGGCGACTGTTCCTGTGCCGACTGGTAACTACTCTGGTGAAGCTGTATCCTGAGATAAGGTTTCACAAGCAAAGCAAAAGTGTCGGCACTCGGTGGAAATCATAACGAATAACAAAACCATTCTACTTCCTGGTCGGCTCGGCTCTTTGCCGTGCCAAAGCATTAAAGGAGCAATGTGTGAGTGTGTGTGTGTGTGGGGGGGGGGGGGGGGGGGGGGGGG